ATACTGCAAAAAAAATGATACGATAATTTACCTTCAACAAGGTATAACTTTGAGGGACATCAAAGCCATAGAGTTTTGCTACAAAGTCAGCACACCCTATCCAGCTATAAATGGACCTCAGAAAACTCTACTTCCCTAGAGAAGAATGCTCTGCTTAACACTTAGAGATGTAAGGCTTAAAAGCAGCTGCTTGGCCAGAAAAACCCAGTAAATCTCTGTAGAATGGTCTTAAAGGCTATTGAAACATTTTTAACTGATATGCCAAAAACTCAATCTGGTTGCATGCAAAGTTTTCTGAAAGATTACCACGTCATGCTGCTGCTGAGGGAGAAGACTGAAGCAATGCTCGAACATTGGTCCTCACTGAAGTGAAAGTTAAAGCTGCCTAGGTGTTCAGCTCTGGCTGCTAAGTTTATGCTAAGTTCTTTACCTGTGTGAGTAAATATCATTATTAAAACGGATACAATTGATGGCAAGGTTTTTCTTAGTCTTTAATGTCTAAGCACAGATGCTATCAAAAATAGCCTGATTTTTCAGTTCTTATCTTGATGCCGTCTCCCTGTATAGGAATTTCCTTTTTCATTTATGTTCTGATAGATAGCTCTGGGAAAGATAACCTAGAACTTGAAGTTGTTGTAGATTGATTAACTAAATTAATATCTGTTTGTCTTCAAACACACTCATCTGTTGTTTACCATGAAACCTCACAGGATGGTCAGCCTCTGGCTTTCCGATAATTCTGTGCTTCAGCCAGCAGATGACACAATGCCTGTTCTGGCGTGCTGGAATTCTATTTAGGCTGAAAATGACTATCATAATGCTATCAGAATGAAGGCTTGGTTTATAATACCTTAATTTATCATGATAAAATAATTTTAATAGGCATATAACATGACTGTGCACCTTTAAGTTAATGAAATGTCCTTATTAAGTATGAAAGTCATTAGCTGCTGTCTCTGCAGAATGCTGGGCAAACCTGCACAATGTTAGCCTATGTGTCTGTGCCCCAATTGGTGTCTTTATGTGTCCTAGAAACCATGTTACTTAGTTAATGCTATTCCCAATCCCTTAATCTGTGTTATAAAACTCCTTTTCATTATTAAAAATATTTCAAGGTACCTTGCTGACATTCACCGTGCTCCCTATAGTGATGCATTCCTTTAATGATGCTTGAAGAAGCATCAAGCAAGTTTAGGTCATGGATTTTCCAAACCCAAAGAGCAATATACTGTATGTCAATAGTTATGCTCCCAGTTATGACCCAAAAGAAGCACAAAATACCCCATATTATTGAAGAGTGAGATTTCTTTCAATCAGAAGCAGTGGATGTGTTAGACAAGAAGAACTTTAATTAGACTTTAATGCTGTAAACAAACTGACATACATCTATGGCACAACAATACAGGTAATACACAGAAACATCTAATATGTTTGATATGTTTTTACCATAGCATGTGAAACAGTACTGTACATAGTCTTACCACTCTTAAGATATAAAGTACAAACTGTCTAATTTGGGAAGTATTTACATAGGTCTTTTTAAGCTTTAGATTTTATAAATGTAGAATAAGATGTTTTTTCTTAAAACTTGCTGACAAATACAACCTAATGTTTGACATTAATGTTTACTTTACACTGTTTACAAATATAAACAGAACCAATATACTGACAAAATATATGTAAACACATAATCAGTCTTTAAGGCCAAAGGATATGGGATACAGTTTTCAAAAGCTTTCACAAATGTCAAAAGTTGAAAGATGCAGATTTTGATCGTTCAGTCAATTTTAAATAAACGTCATCGGATTCTGACTAAACTTAACTCCTCCCTTTCCTTAATGTATTTTTTTTAAACAACTGCCTATATTCAGCTTGTGAAATTGTGTTTGTCATGAAATGTATTGTTAGAACTAATGAATCAGAGCTTACCATAACAGCATTGGTGTTATGGTACATCGACATTCATAACAGAAGACACTTTTTTTCCTTCTGCAAATAACAGTTTGTTTCACGTGACAATTTAATCTCAGTGTTATTTTCCCAAAATGGTTAGTCCTCAGTTAAAATTTTAAAAGGTATCTAAAAACAAGTGCTAAGAAAATGTGCTTGATCTAAAAGGACGTCTTGATCCTGATCACTATTGGTGTGGAATGTTCCACAATGTTGCTTCACCTTTTCTGGCAGAATAAATGCATGTTTTAAGAATCCCACCCATTTTCATGTGCAAAGCTTGTACAATTGTATCATAGGCTGTACATATTATTTGGTTCATGTAACACATCTTTTGTTTTCTTCTTAAAAATGCAGCAGTTTAGCTTGTAATTCAAACTTTTGTAACTTTTACTGTCTGAAATCTGTACTAAACAAAAATTGCTTTGTATACACTCCTTGTGTACAAAGTGACAATAAAAGTTGTCTAAGTCTGTTGACATTGTTTGTCATGCATCTTGGCATTTTGAAACAAAACTTGTTATGTAAGTCTATATTATAGAAATAAATGTATAATCCTGTCACGCCTTTGAAAAGTTTTTTTGTTTTGTTTTATTTTAATGTACCTGCTGCGTATATTGCAATTAATTTAGGTTTAACGTTCTGTATGTGAACCAGAACAGTGTTAAAAGTTCAGTGCTTTATGAGTGTGATCAGAGGTGCCAATAATTATTGGTGTAATTAAATATGAAAAAAGTGTTACCTAACCTCAATTGGAACTCTTTACAGAACTCAGAGGATTCAATCTTCATTAGTGCAGACAGAGAGTTAGCATGAGAAGCATGGGAGAAAGTCTTGTCATTAATGGGGCAGATTAATGGGGAGTTCTTTCAACATATTTGAAGTGACACTGAGTACAGCGTAAAGAGCTTCTCAGAGTTAATGCACTAATGGCAGGGAGGTTTTTGCAATTAAAATGATTTCTTGTAGCCTGTCTTATCTGGAGATATGATTTTTCAGGCTACAAAAGCAGATGCACAAGAAGCAGAGTTGTACACCGTATTGAATCACAATCTTTATGGATATGTCAGTGGCTGTTTCCACAAAGAGTGCTGGGATACAAATTATGGGGGAATATAGTATTCCAAGTGAAAGACATTGATGGATAGATAAATGAAATACCATTTTTGTTTTTCTTGTGGTCTTCTTCGTATTGTAAAGGAAACAAACATTTAGAAAAAGAAATAGAAGAAAACAGCCCTTGAAAAATGTGTTTTTTTCCATGACTGTCAAGTGGACTGATTGTTACTACTTTTGATACCCACATCAAATATATGGTTTATCTTTAATGGCTGAGATGCTGATTGTTGGGGTGATTTTGTCATTTTGAAGAAAGAGAAGTCTCCAGAAAATTGTGGGTTATTGTAATTGATATAATTATCGCAATCTTCAGTATTCATATCGCAGCTAAATATTTTCCTGGTATTATGTAGCCTTCTGTCAGCTAGTGTTATGTTTGTCCTTCTTTGGATCTACTGTAGGATGGAGTGTAGCTGAAAATCTAGCCTTTACATTTCTTTTGAATTGCAAAGTATATTTCTAAGTTCGTAAAGCAGGATAATTTTTTTTCCTTTATATTATTTGAAATATTTTCTGTGGAAATACAGCATGAGCTAAATATTAGCCAGTCATATCTAATGAGCAAACATGCTAACGTTAGCCACCTATCCAAACTTCTACAAACAAAAGCATAATTAGCAGAAGCTAAATATGTTTAAATGAAGACTGTGGCTGTATGTAGAGTCAGATGCTTGGAAACAACTGATGAAGCTCTCAGTGTCAGAGCATTATAGCTAAATCAAGTTTAATGGTGTTGGGGCAGAAACGTAAGTGGTGACAAAATATCTGTAGCTGTTAAAAAAGCAGACAATAAACAATCCTAATTATAACTGCTGAATGATTTAAGTATACTAAAATTACCCCACTCTTGTGGGCCATAAGGTCCAGATTAAATGACCTTTTACAGTTTTAAAATGTACCTGTGTTATAATCTATGTTTACATGGACACAAATAATCGGATTGAAGGCCTGATCAGATCAAAAATGTTTCATGTAAACATGTCAGACTGAAGATTCTAATCCGATTCAGTCCGAAGTGGAAACAGATTTCATTCAGAAAGAGAGAGGTGGTTTTTGCCGATTGCCATTCATGGGTTTGTTTGATTTAAGATGCTGCATCCTTCAAGGATCCGGTTTATCTGGACCGTTAAAAAAGATCCGTGAAAATAAGGAGTCTGGAAGAGTTTTGGCTATGGATTCAAACAGGTCCAGCCTTCTCCGTCCACATGCTCTATCGCCTAGCAACTGTAACAGTCGACCCACAAAGCAGGCGAAGAATGAATGCAGAACTTCTCACTACTGATCTGGGCGCTAAAAACATTTTCGAGGAGCTTCAGCAGCAGTACCGTCGTCACGAATATCATATTTATAGTCCCCACACTGCACAGATATTAGAATCTGTGCTTAACTGTCATCCAAACCCATTTGCACTTGGACAGATAAAACCTTTCAATAAACCAAACAGAAACCCACCACTTATCTGACTCAATAACCATTTAAAAAACTATTTCCATTTATTTCAGACAGAATTATTCAAATACTTGTATTATATTAAACTGCACTTACAATATTCACCACTGTTTGGTGAAATTTACATTTTTCCTCTGAGCATGGAACAGCCGGCTTGCTTGGTCTCGCAATGAATCACAGGATACCCAAGGCTACGTAGGACACATCAGATCCCGCATAACAAGGAGTCTTCCAACCTGAACAGGCCTCGGAGCTGCCCTATCACATAATCCGCCGAAAACCTCGGAGGACACAGCCCCTGGATCTGAACTCAGTATATGTACAAACCCATTTAGATCTTTGGAGCATTATAATCGCCACGGTGCACGTGTGCAATGTCAGACATTTTCTCTTTAACCTAACCTTCATCCACTGGCTCCTGGTCCTCCTTGGTGGAGGAGATGACACTAAAGGTAATGCATGGATGAACATGCCCTCCTGCCCTCTAACACTGTAGAAAAGGAGCATTAGCATATGGTACTGCTGAGCCCTTAACTTAACTAAAATGCCCATCCAAAAAAGAAGTATGAACACAAAGATGCAACAATGGTCCATAATGTAAAAAACTACATTAATGGACATGACTGAAGAAGACAGAATGTGAATGGCAAGCACAAAGAATAGCTAAAGTTGAGGATGAACGGACAAGTATGGGTTTTTTAACAAAATAGGCTTCTTCTTCTACTACTAAAGTGTTTCCGGAAAATCTAATAATTCCGCACATCTGATCATTTTACTGAGTGTCCATATAAACAGGATTTTGAATTCATGATCAAGGTTTAGATCCGATTGGGAAAATGTTGTGCATGGAAACAATTGATTGAAACTTTCACAAAGGATCTGATTAGGACTCTGTAGCTCATAATTTACATGGATGGGTTTTAAACCAAATAGAGTCATGATTGGAATGTCTTGAGTAGTTGGCTCAAGAAAATGTATTTAGAATTGAAGTGGGTCTTAAAGTTTAAATGAACGATTTGATAGTTATATAAAACATCTTGAAGAATAGGTCAACTCAGCATGGGATTACTGAGAAGAGTAAGTATTTTAACCATAGACCAGCAGAGCATTTCTGTATATCATATATAACTGACTGAGCTGACAGGAAATTAAAGCTTAACAGGTTATTCTGTCCATGCTTTGGACTTTGAAGCTGTTCAAACTGAAGAGTTTACTTCTAAGCTACTGTAAGCAAGGAGATGGTCAAATAACAGCATGATGTTACTTTGCCCTACAGCAAGTAACAGTCGAGGTATATTTATTAAACAGACAGAATCCAATTAAAGTTTAAAGTTAACTTCTAGAGAATCTGATAAGATAAAACTGGATTTGGAGAAGCACCGCTTGTAGGCTTCCAGGGCATTTCTGTCTTCCTCCATTTGCATCCTATGTTTGGCCTTCATTTTAATAAACTGTCAAGTAAATAAGACCAGACAATGTGGGCTCATACAGCCTTTCCCTCATTTGTGAGATCCTGATGACGAATTTTCAGTTTAAAACAAACACAAAAAAAATCTTTAGGGAATTTCGCTGGTTTCTTCTTGGTTTTTCTTTCTGCAAAATCTTCTCTTTACCTCTGTCCAAAACGCTCCCTAATTTCAGAGGAAAACGAACCATCATAGGAAAATGATTCACACCAGAAAGAGATATTTCAAGATGAGAGAATAATTAAATGTGCTGCCTGTTGACGAGAGCAGCCAGCAGGCTTTTTGCCCTCCTGGTTCCATCCCTATCACTTCATTTTGCTTTCAAAACATTTAAAGTACATGTTTTGGAGGGAGCACTAAAACCAGATCTCCTAGGGATAAAAAGTGAGAGGCTATGACAGCAGCAAATTGGCTTTTTTCTCCCGTGAGCCTTACTCAAGACTCCCCCACCCACCCCCACCACAATACATGCGAGCAATTTGAATTGTGCAGTAATTGCTTATGTTGCTTTTCTCCCCACACAGATTCTACAATGGATTTTGATCTCATTAGTTTAGCCCGCGGTTGATTTCTGAGCAATTCTAATACTAAGCACAGCGTTAAAAAAAACCCCACAAGACTACTTTTTCATGCTTTTTGGTGGGTTGAGTGCAAATCGTTGAAGAAAATGTGACAGCAAACCATTTTGAAGCTCATCCCTGTTTTTTTTTCTTTTTAAATGAAGCAATTTTTAAAAACATTCTTTTACAAAGTGGCTTCCTTTTTTATTAGCCTGTTAGAAACCGTTTCCTCTTTCTTAACCACAGTATGATGAAGAGAAAAGAAGAGCCAAAGGGGCAGCAGAAAAATGGATGCAACATGAGTTATGAAATAAAAATCAAAAGCTGCACTCTAGCCTGGTTGCAGACGGGTGGACTGGGTATGGTTTTGCGTTGAGTGTATGGTTTTTGTAGCCTTGGGTGACATTCTTCTTACTGAAGTACTGTATATGTACTTCTCACTTTAAGAAAGGGCAAACTCTAGATATAGCTTTTGCCCACACGGTTCTCTGCCCCTGCACTCATATTGTGTACCTTTGTTTACTTCCTTTCGGAAAGGAAGCTTATATATTGAAGGATGAGTCATATCTTGTTGAAATGTTGAATGAGCTCAAGCTGAATAAAAAAATAAACCAAGATGAGATACTTTACAGTCTTAGAAGGAAAGGAACATAAACTTGTTTGGAGGTATTTACATGTCTTTTCTGTAACCGTAGACAGTGGTTCACAGTGAGTGCTTCAATGGATTCGACATTGGTGGCGACTCTGACACCGAGAAAAAAGGCCTTAGTCGTTCCAACATTCCCAGTTCAGGAAGAGAGCTGGCAGCAGCAGTAATGGCAGAGCGAGCTCTGCTTGGCTAGCTTCTCCTCGCTGACTCCCTCTGGCACCAGATTCAGTGCCAGAGTCCTTCTCAGAATACGGCGGGATAACGTTAAACTCCTCGTTCGCTCCCTCTTCTTCCTCCTCCCCCTCTTGCTCGCCGTCCCCCATCTGTGAAGGAGAGAAAGAGTGATTGCTCTAATTATTAAGAGCAATGAAACATAGAGGGAAGGTCAAGAAGAGACCTTCTGCACAACACAAAGTTTACTACACATGAAAACAGCTCAAGGCTACCAACAAAACATCAAATGCCAAGAATAGGTGTTTTAATAGAAAAAAAAAGTGGAATTATTTTAATTAGTCAAGCTGCTTTGGAAGATCTGATGTTTTTCTTGTGTACATATAATGCCATGTGTTCAGTGTAAACACATGGTAATAAAATAGCAACCTTGAATAATACAAGGTTTTTCATGTAATATACATCTTTTATTAAGAAAATTAATTAATCAGGTAAGAATTAGGACCATGTACCAAAGAGTCTACTGGCCCACCTTTGTTGCCAAAACAGTCTTGACCCATCAAAACATGGATGTTAATAAATTTCTTATGGGTGCAGAGATTTTAGATTTTGGAGCCTTAAAGTCCAGCAGATTTTAATGTGGGTCTAGAACAATACCTGAGTCACTTTTACTTGCAGCATGCTTTTGCTGAATAGAGCCGTAGGTATTAGGGAGAACTGTTTCCATTAAAGGATCTTAAACAGTGACTTAGCAGCAGGTATGTCAAAGAAGCATCCACCTAGATGGCAGAATGCTGGGTTTTCCAAAAAGGATTACAGCACAAAAGCATCATACTTGCTTCCCTCCTTAGCACATTTTCATGCCATCTATATTCTCACCCAGATACCAACATGATATATAAATATTTCAATTACTTCCTTCCATTGCTTTGTGTTCCAGAAATATAGATTTATACATTTATCTAATGTAAGGTCTGAGAGTAGTATGATGTGATAGGTGAGTTTTGTGTAGAAGGACCATCCTTCCACCTCTCATTCCATCCTACCATCGCCCGTGAAAAGACATGATAGTTAAACTTATCTGCACAAGGCAGAGACTGATCCCCAAATCAAAGGGTGAAGTGCACCTTTTTCCTGTGGATCAGATGTAAGAGGATCTTACTGTTATTCTGGCTGATTGTTACTAAGTGGTGAACCACCTCTTTAAGGTAATGGCCTAAAGAAGCCAATAATACTATATCAGCCACAAAAAGCAAAGGTAAGATTGTGAGGTTTCAAAATCAAACAACCTCCTCTCCATAATTAAGATCCTGTCAATTACCCCAAAAAGGATCTGTAACAAGAAGCACCACCATATATTACTGATGATACGCGAAGGTTTATACCCTGGATTAAATTTGAGTCAGTCAGTCTTTAGACGGAGGAACCAAATGTTTCTAAGAAAAACTTTAATTTGAGTATTCTTACTCCGAAAAAAAAAAAAACATATTGTGCTTGAAACTAAATGGAGAAAAAAATCAGATAAGAAAAGCACCAACCACAAGCAATAAGGGGAGACAATAAGGTAAAAGGACAAACCAACCGCAGGAACAGCTAGAACATGAGATCAGAACTGGCAAATCAACAGCTGTTAATATTTCAAAACAGGAAATACAGATAACACAGTGGACTGAATTAAAGCATTTTATAAAATTAAAAGTGGAAAAACAACAAAACAGACAAAACGTTTTAAGAATTCAGAGGTCTGGGTCCAGGCCCAGGTTTTCTCTCTCTCTTCTCTGCAGGGTGTGATGGGAAGGTGATCCCCATCACCGCTAATTAGAGCCTTTCTTAACAAGCCTGACCTCCCCAAGCTGTTCCCTGGACTGCAGGGTTTCAGGCACCCACTGCCTCTTCCTCCTTGCTAGTAGAGCTAGTATTTGCTTTTTAGCACAGGACAGATGCATAATTGCTGCTGACTACACAACAAATGACCCAATACTCAGCAAACCAGTGCAGCAGCAGCAGGCGGCTCAGCACTATGGCAAGTGCAGTGCAAACTGCATCCTGTGTGAAGGACCTTTAAAAAAATTTCGCAATCTGTTGATCATAGTGATATTTATGGGCAGAAAATTTATATTTGGGAACCTTCGTCAGTAGGATCCGTCACTCATCCATCTTGGAGCTGTCCCCTAAATTGCAACTTTTCATAGGCACAAGGTGCAGAAATTCTGTCAATTAGGTGTTAGAGCAGAGAGCCCTGCAAGCTAATATGACGTAATTTAACCCTCATAGATGCGTCAGGCATAAATTCAGCTTTTATGGTCTCCTTTCTTTGGACTTTTCTTTCCAGAAATCTTCTGTCCTTTATGTCTCTTCTTTCTGCCCTCCTTTCCTGTGCCCTACATGTATTCCTTCCCTCTCACCTTATTTCTTTCCTTCCTGTTTCATTACTTCTTTAACTGTTGACCTTCTTTGACCTCTCCCTGTTTGGGTCCCTCCTTTGTTCTGTCTTTGTAGCCTTCACTGTCTGCTTCTTTCTTGGGTCCTTCATTTTCTTTTCTTTTTAACTATCATGTCTTTTAAAATACAACATAACTGACATTTCTGAAAAAAGGACATTTGCTCATGGCCACTCTGTAGTAAATTACATGCATTTTTCTGGCAGGTAATTCCAGACATAAAAGGAAGCTTCACCAGTCAGTTTGATTTTATTTTACTCCAGCCAGTCAACATCACTGTTAAGACTCTAAAAGTGAAGTGTGCATAAGAAATAGGAAAGTCAAGTCATCTGTACTGTATGACAGGGTCCTCTAAGGCTTCATTACTGGGAAGAAGATATTTGCAATATAGGATATAGCAGGATTACAACTGTACATATGAAAAAGATTAGCTCACTCACATGAATATTAACAGTAAAGATTGCACCAAACACCTACAGCTAATCCTGCACCATCCTGAGAGAGGGAGATATGAGACGAAGTAAAACAGGAATAATCTGGGATTATGTAGAGAGCTATTGGGCCTCAAAGTACTCCTACAGTCCTCAGTAATACATAGGTGTATTGATTCTGTATACAGTCTACTGACTTGAGCCAAATGCCTAACAGCAACACATAGTGAGCCTCTAGCAATAGAGGATACTTACACTGTTGAATTCAGGAAGCGTATTGACGCTAACATGGACCCTCTCCTGGAAGACGCGAGGAGAGGGCTGAGAAACTGGCACTGGAGTGTGCTCCATGGGAGGAGGCGCAGAGATTCCCATGGAGCTGATGGCTTTGTCTGAAAACAAAATCAGCAGGGGACATCTTCATTAGTTTCACATCTTAATTCGTCTTTGAATCAGCACTACAACATTACCAGTGTGTGTTCTCAGCAAAGATGAAAGCCAAATACTTCATGTTTTAAGATATTTATGAGAAAAGCTATGTTTTAAACATATTAGCTTATAAATAAGTTTTTGTTTTAAGCCTAAATTCAGTTTAGATCCATATTGATACACATTAGAGCAAAACTCAACTAATAAATATCTTCACAAAAAAATAAAATAAAATATATATATATACACAGCACAGACAAAAAGTTTGGACACAACAAGTTTTCTTTATTTTCATGACTAAAATTGTAGATTCACACTGAAGGCATGAAAACTATGAATTAACATGTGAAATTATATACTTAACAAAAAATTGTGAAACAACTGAAAATATGTCTTATATTCTAGGTTCTTCAAAGTAGCCACCTTTTCCTTTGATTACTGCTTTGGGCACTCTTGATGAGCTTCAAGAGGTTGTCACCTGAAATCGTCTTCCAATGGTCTTGAAGGAGTTCCCAGAGATTCTTAGTCCATATAGGATAATAGGAGGGGCCACAATTGATGATGTCCGATGCCTCGCTACAGTGATACCATGTGACCACTTCGGGAAGTGGTTCAGAAAGCGCAAGAACTTTGACAGGCATTTAAACAGCCTCAGTATTCAGTCAAGATGAGGGAGATTGTAGGAGAGCTGCGGTCAGTTGAATAGAATTTGGATAGATTCTAAGAATAGATTGGTTGTTTTTCCAACCAATCTATTTGGTTAAAACTATTTCAGTTAGATCAAACAATGTAATGTTCAAAATCTGAGGAAGCCAGTGGACACAGTTGTAGCTTCAGTTTTAGGTACTATTGTTGTCTGTTACCAAAAGTTACCAATGTTGGTACCGCCAGCTTTAAGACATTGCCTTTCACTCCTGAGGTTGATGGTTCAAGACCCACCTTAGACTTCTGAAAGTTGTGATTTTACTTAAGTATTTTGGCTAATGTGACTAATTTGCATTAGTTTGCCCAAGTAAAAATGTAGATTGGGTAAAAACACTGCCAAATTAGATAGATCATTAGATAAAAATTGAAAGAAAATCACAAATTTTATTACTAACTATAGTTATGCACTCCAACAGTTGGTCGGTGAGATGTTCACATGAAGCCTCATGAACTGTGAGGATAGTTGAAGCAATTTAAAATCACAAAGGAAACGCTGAAACGCTCTCACCACGTGTTAAGGAATAAACTCGCCTAAAGACACTGGCTCGACAATAATCTCCTCAATGGAACGGAAACATGAACCTTACAATAAACCAAACTTACACAATAGAACCTAAAGACATCAAATAGGGAAGAAACAATGATCTGGCCCCGATAGCTGGGCTAAGCTGAATATAAAGGAGAACCAGCAGGTGGATGAGATGAGTGATAATTAACAGCCGGGTAGAGTTAAGCAGGTGAATGACATGAATAATTAAGGTGAGCTATCAGGGCAGATCATGACATCATCCTCCTCAGTAGCTAAAAAGTAAGAGTGACAAGAGTGTCCACATATTCATCCATTTTTTTAAAAGTCAAATGTAAATATCATGTTTGTTTCTGATTCTGATCAGAGCACACAGTTTTATTAGAGTTCAGAAAACTTGATATATTTTAATGCTTAGAATGTCTAGAAAAATAGTAATCTTTTGCAACACACTAAAATACAGTTAGTTTTGGAGTTTTGTTCTTTTATCTTCTATACGATCCTCCTCAATGTTCATAGTTGCAAAATAAACATGCTTATCCAGGCTTGAGGCCAGTGACCTATAGAAATAGGTCTCTGTGTCACGTTATATCTATACCAGAGGAAGCTGGAAGGCAAGTACTGATAGATACAATTTATCTGATTAACTTTGAAAAGTAAAGCATTATTCAAAGAAATAATTAAAGATGTATTTATTTAAAAGTTTTAAAAAAATCATTTCTATTAGATGCATCTGACATTGTTTAAGAAATCCATTATGTTTTTAAGAAGTATAAATAAGACTATAACAGAAAAAGAGACAATTATATGGAGACAATTTGCTGGGATCCAGTTATCTATCTATTTAAAACATGTTAAAATAATTATGGGATGGCACAGATCCCACAGAGTACTGAGAGCCTGCGACTGTGGAGGAAAAAGTCAAAGTTCCACTATGGATGAGTGAGAGAAAACTTTTAAAACACTGCTATTTTAAGCCAATATTTTAAACCAATAAAAAAAAGTCCTAAAAATTAACACAATTTACAATAATTAAGTTTTTGTGACAGTTATCAGGTAAAAGGGTTTTAAAAAAATATATTTTACATCTTTATTATGATAATGGTTTTCTTACTAGAAATATTTGTCTTGTTTGTATGAAAACACCTTAGTCTCAGCTTTCTTACTAAATAAATGAATGGGAAGCAGAGAAATATTTAAGTGTTGAATTGAACTGAATGTAGGAAGTGTGGATGGTCACATATGGATAGGCTGTTTAATCACCAACATAATGAGCCCTGCCACAGGCCCGTCTGCTGCTCAGCCTGCTCACACATGGCCACTCTGCAGTAACAAAACATGCAAACATGATTTCTGCAAGGTTAACCTTTTTAAACGGTTAACAAAAGCTGTTCACTTTTTATTTTTTTTTAACAATTGGTTAATTAATTTGAGACTATTCATAAACACATATTAACATAAGAATAAGAGGAAACACCAGTTTTCTGGAATAAACCATCAGCTCCAAACTTCCGGATAGCTATCGTATCCAATTGGCAGGCAAAAAACCGGCCTGCAGAGTCTCCATTGTCTTTCACTATCTACACTTTGCATTGGTGTGCAATCATAACTAATCTCAGCCTCAACATTATTTCTGGAGGACAATGTTGCGAACAAAAAGTAAGCGCTGCGGCTAAATGAAAGTCACATACAGCCTGATTGCTAATAAGGTCCCTCATTGTGAAATCTTATTTCTAATTAAACCGCCTGTCTGTCTCTCTGTCTGTCCCTTATTCTTTCAGTTTTTCTTAGTACAGACTATGCTAAACAATGCATTCTTACATTTTAATGGGACATACTTAGGAAAAACTCTAGATGCTCACTCTGGTTTGGCAGCAGCTCAAGTGCAAGCCGCATCCAGTTTATCAGATTTGGTGAAAGGATTCATTGACTCTGCCGACTTTCGAAATCAGATTCACATTTGGCAGGCAGCCAAATACCAGGGAGAACGTCTTGCTGTTCATTTATTTATAAGAAGACATTATGGTTCAGTGACTAACCCTCTCAATCATCAATTATGGCCCATCTCATTTGAATTCTGTATTAATGCACATTTAGAAAGTGCTCACTTAGATCACCATCTCAACATTAATTTAGATAACACTTACATTTGACAGCTGAAATACAACATTTCCTCCCTCTTATAACAGAGGCGGATGAAGGATTGACAGTTACAAGATTCTTCTACAAAGCATAAAGACGAAAAATAAATTGGTAACCTAAACCGCTGCACTGCATTATGAACAATCAAACACAAAAATGATTTTAACTGCTAATTATGGTTTTCACATTACCATCACTATCTAATGTTTTGCATTACTGTGACTATCTGCGTTAAGATTTATGGCAGCAATGCCCTTAAATCACAAAGATGCAAATCATAGATTCCAGTCATATGGAAGGATTCTGGCAGAAAACTGGCCCAAAGCTTTACTCATTAACTACCATGGTTACAACCAGAACCAACAGGTGTTTTTTTTCTAATATACAGACACACCTGTTATTGAATACCTTGTACAGCTCTCTTTTGTCACTAGCTATCTTACATAATCATTTCACAAGGTTGAGGCTTTCAGAATGGGTATTCGACAATTTATCTTTGTACAATTTCTCTTCAAGGTGGATTATTCTTTTTCCAAAAGTGCCACACATATGAACAGGACTTTGTTGAGAAAACTAACTTATTCAAATAATATATGTGATATAAAGTCTTGAAATATTTATTTTTTTATAGGGTGCCAAACACACCGCTCGATGTAACTAAACCATAAAATATGATATGACATGACTAACTGAAAATGTGTTAAAAATTATCTCTGAGAAGGAGAGTAGAATTTCATATAATTTTAAATATGGACATTCTTGTGTTTAGGTCCATGTTTATTGTGATCATGTCCATGGAGCCTGGGTGAAAGTTCAACTGAATAAACTGATTACTTACCTTCATCTGCCTCAAACACCAGCTAATCAGCTTTGAACCACACCTCTACAAAAGCCCAATCAGCATCCAGCGTTCATCTTAAAAGGCCTCCGATCCACAACTCATTCTGCTACCCAAAGTCCAGGCAGTGGTCGTGCTATGTCGGACTTCGATTCAGATGAGCGCGTTTCAACCACCTCCATCCTCTTCTCTACCATCCTAACCAAAGCTTCATCAGAGTTACATTCCTCCTGGACTTTTACTGCCTTCCCTGTCTCTTTTCAACCGGTCCGGCAGAAGAAAGCCATGTTTAGCCTGGTTCTGCCAGAGGTTTCTTCCCAATGGGGAGTTTTTCCTCTCCACTGTCGCTTAATGCTTGCTCATCATTGACAGGTTCACGCAACCTGTTTTATCCAAGCTGGACTTCCATCTGTCAGGTCCCTGAGTGAAGCACTGGTATCAGCTCACGCAGCCCACTGGATCTCTCCATACAGTTCAAGGATACCGTCTCACTAACCAGAAGTCTATGGACTGACCTTCATTTATCTTCACCCCACCACCAGTTTCAGGCTTGGGAGAAACATCCCTGTTCTTCACTCCTGTTCTTGTATATCAAACAAAATTCAGCACCATGTTTCCTGCCAAGATCGAGGACCAAAAACTAAAGTAATACTATCAATAAAATTGTCCTTTTCTTTCTGCGTGAGTTTTTCAGTTTCATATCTCATCTCTAATCCCTTAGAGCAGCCATATGCCCTAAAAAACTGAATCATTAACCTAACTCAACTTCAGTTAGTAAATATCAATGAGCCGTGCAGCATATTTCTATGAAATCTGAATGTGTGAATGTTGGTTCTTTGTGACCTTCAGCATTTTATTGCTGCACTCAGTCATATGTGCCACAATTTGACTCCATCCAAAAGGCTAAATATCTTGTCAGGATGCAAAGGATGGATTTGTTTGCAAGGCATCTGTGTCAAGATGTTATTTTAAGTGTTTAAAACAAATAATCTAGAAATAACAGGAATTATACTGTTTTTTATGAAGACACTAGTAAAAAAGTCGCTTACACTGACACTGTTCAGAATTATTTAGTAGGGCTTAAATAGAACACTCTAAGTGATACTAAATGAGGAGTCATTTGGGAGTAATAAGGAAGCGGAGTCAAAAGAGACAAATCTATGAAAAGAGGCAGACCTCCCATTACTGTTCTGTATGAGTTTTCTCTTTTTAGAATGATCAGATACTGGAGCACATGGGGGTCCTAAAGTAGCTCCCCGAATAGAAAAGTGATAGCAGTCATCTCCAAAAACAAAAAAACTTTTTTCAAGCATAATAAATCTTAAGAGTTTTGTCAATTTATTACTTAATCAATCAATACAAGAGATTTGATTGTCCTAATGGTCCTACAGCTAGATCAAATTTTTCAGTTTCACAGCCAAAGAATGCATTACTGTTTCAATTAAACATAAAACTGGAGCAACTGACGTTTTCTGCTGTTAGGTGAAAGACAGTGAAAACAGTTCACTACTTTTGTAAAGCCAGCACAGAGCAGGTACAACCAACTGAATTTCCAGTTTGTATCTAACTTCCAGTCTGAATCTTTTCTGGTGTTTATTATCCAAGCTCTTATACCATATTGTTCCTTATGTTCTTAACAGTGCAATTTTCTTTCAATCTACAGGTTCTCAATTGGATCCTCGAATTTCTAAAAGTAGAATGGCGGGCAGATCTTTTATTCATCTGTCTCCTTTCCTTTGGATCAATTTCCAGTTTTAGACGTTGAGGCAGACACCTTGTCTACTTTTACAGCTAGGCTTAAAACTTTACTTTTTTTAAAGCTAATAAATATAAAGGCTCAGGTTATCCTGAGATATCGCTGTAGTTATTCTGCTATAGACTTAGACTGCTGGAAGACATAGAGGCCACTTTTCCTCAGTCTGCTACATTTTCCAATTTCACAATATTTGTTAGCTTAACTTTATGTTCTCTTTGTTCTTTCTCGTAATATTAGTCACATCTGGCCATGTAGCTGTTATACGATGCTGAAGGGAGGCATTAGCTGGACTACTGCTGTCAACAACTTAATGTGATAGCTCCATCTCTCTCTTGGACATACTGAAGCTATTGGTTCAGTTTATTCCAGCAACTAACTGAATGTGCTCTCTCTTTTCCCTTTAAATCTGATAAAGGCAAAACATATAGAGTTAATTTGTGTTTTTTTATTGATTTCAAAACAAAGCCGCCTATGAATCAGTGCTTCAGTGGTCATTTTGTGTCTGTTCCGTCTTTCTAAACCTGTCAGCCGTGGAAGAAGGCGTTCAGCTGAAGGTTTCTTCTTGTTAAAGAGGAGTCTTCCTCTTAATTTTTGCTATATGGATGCTCTGTGCCTAAACCAACCGGTCCATTTTATTCAATTGACTCCAAAGTGCATGTCATGACATGTTGTTAACGGAGCTAAATAAATAAATTAAATTAAATACTTTCATGCAGGGTTTTTTATGGAGCAATTCAGCTTTTCTCATACCGTATTTTCACGACTATAAGGCGCACTTAAACGTCTTTTTTT